TCAAAAAATTAATCTGAAAGTATAGAAAGCTAGCCCAAAAGCTGTAATTTTATTTTTTTAAATAATAACGAAACAGCAATGAATGAAAAAATAGCATATTATGAGTATGAGATTCGTTTTTATAAAAAACGGTAAGGTAGCAGTAAGTTACGGAATGTTTGTGCAGGGCTCTATATATTATTGCTTTCACCAACCAAAACCACAAACTTACCCCTTTTTTCTGCGTCGTCTTCGAATTGATAATGTCGGCACCCCACCATTGTTTTTGTGTTCAGCCCTGCACAATACATTCAGTTTAATTTTTTGCATTTTATTAAACAAAACAAAAAAAGAACAACGCGAAAATGACATATTATTACTAGAACTAGTCGTAAATTGAATTATAAAACGATGGACACAGTTATTCATGGACCACTTTCGATAAATACTTTTTAAAAAGATAAAAATTACTGCAAAACATCAATTAATTTGTGTACACATACATGTGCTGATTGCTGCTAGACAACCAGATTATTTAAACATTTTAAAACTTTAAATTAGAATATCACAATCACTTAATACGTGTATGTATACATATTATATAAATAACATAATCGGACAAAACTGAACAGAAAAATGTAGGCCTAATATAAAAGGTGTTACAGCTACCAGTTATTTCTTGTTAGACGCAACCACCTCGCTTTGCTGGGCATAATTTAATTATATTAAAGAACATTAATCGTAAGACCAAATTTTAATTAAATCTGACCACAAACATAAATGCTCCATAAAAGTCCCCCCCCCCCAACCGTTTTCACCTCTTAAGGGTTGAATTTTGAAATCTTTCCTTGTGTATATGTTACCGAAAGATGGAATTTCCCTGCTCGTGCCCTGGTTACACGTTTGCTATATAGGGAAGCGTATGTCTGTACTATATGCACCGAGTTAAGATAAGTACTCAAAAGGTACAATGACGGAGAACGTAAACAATACCGCTTGTCGATCGACTAAAGTAAACATCAACAAAACTACTACTACACTATGTTTAGGTGCATATCACAATCATATAACAACATTTGTTCATTGCTGATAGTATTTAAAGTACACCTCAGCATGTGGGTACACAAAAGAAACAAACAAATGTAAGTTTCTGATAAAGCCAAATTTCCACGCCATCTTTGAAGTGATATCAAGGCGCGTTACTTTTCTTACACAGTGTAAACACACACACACATCCGTACATTACAAAATTGTACGAAATTCGAAGACAACATTTTTTCTGAACTGAGAAAAAGCTTGGCAGATACCAATTCTGACTAGCATTGTGGCGGGCAATTGTATATATTTTTTTGTAGATATTTCTTAAGCATTCTTTTTCATTATTTTACTTCAAATCCATTTCATTTCAAATATTATTTCAATTAATTTCAATTTCTTATCTTGTACATACCTTGGTTTCCTTTCATTCTAAACTCTATTGTTCTCTCAATCACTTTTACCTGGAATTCCAACTTCAACCATACATGCATGCACTCCCATACTAATATCTAGTTTTACCCTTAATTGCTTTCTATTGAACTGCTTAATTCTACGTATTCCTACAAACTAGTGTCTTCACCCTCTCTCTCACTACTTTTCCTTCTAGAACATTCTATTAAATTTACTAACAACCCTGTCCTATAAATACTCCAAAAATTTCATATCTTGAGTTTTGCTTTTTCAGTGCGAGTCCCCACCCTACTTCTGCGATGGGGCACCTACTCACACCCACATCATCTCTCCCCAAGCACTCCCATCCCCATTTACATCTCCCTCTCCCCAATATAGTCAAAATCTTTCCCTTGGGACGGTCTACCGTCTACTGCTACCATTTGTAAGTGTTCCTGCTTTCATCTACTCTGTTTTATTATTGTATTATCTTGTTCTTTTTGTTACTTTGTTTTTGTATGTCTGCTTCATTCTCTTTGTGCCTTTTTGTTACTTGTGTTTTCGTTTGTTATTGTTGTACATAAAATGTTATGTGTTATTGTTAGTGTTTTCTTGGTTTTTAAATAATATTAACCCCAAAAGGCACTAAACCATTATTTGTGAAACATTTGCCCGTAAACAGCAACCTACAAAAACAATTCGGCTCTGTAGTACACTCCTGTCGAAGTCACCGACATAAATCTACTAACAGTAGAAAGGTAGAAACTCATTTTCCTAATTTGGACATGAAGACTTCAATTGCCCTGAACTAGGTATATATATTTCTAGCATTACGAATAATAAAAAAAAACAACGAAAATGGTATAAAGAAGTTCATGATGGTCAGTATTATTCTTGCCAAACGCAAATCCACTACAAGTGGTGTTTACGACGCCGTTTGTAGGATTTCAGCGAAAATGGTGATTTATTGCGTGGGGTATGGATGAAAGAATTTGTAGAATACGGGAAATGGAATTTCGTATGATTTGTATTTATGAAACAAGTAAACTCTACAAGCATTTATTTATCGTTTTATTTGTATACCTATAGATTCCCATTTAAATGACCTGAAGTTTTGAAATTGTGGATTATTGCCTTGAGAAGACTAAATTGGTAACCCTTTCGGATGAGTAGGATATGTAACGCTTATTTTCAAGAGAGACACTTCAAAAGCAGCACATACAAAAAAGAACCTCTAATTTTATATCAAAAGGTTTGTTTTCAATAGGCACATGTGGTACAATTGGAAGATAACATACAAATGGATAGTCTTGTTTATCAAAGTTCATAGCTTGTGAACGTTGAAACTCAGACAAACAAGATTTCGTACTTAGAAGAAAAATAAGAAAACAGCAAAGGAATATGAAAATAAAACGCATGAAAGATTTAATTAAAGTAATTTCAAAAAGTGAGCACGTGACATGCAGCAACACAAATCTAGATTCCATCTTTTAAGGTATAAATTATAATTAGCTTTTTATTATATTGCAAAATTAAGCGGGTTCTGTTTTTTTATAGGTTTTCTTCTACATTTTGTTGTACAGCATAAAAAGAATTCTGCAGCAGAACCTGGACAGCACAAATATCTACCAATTAAGCAATTTACTCATACAGTGTATTTCTAATCTCCCAAGTCTTATAACTTTTTACTTCGCATTGCCAAATACTCGCAAAATTGGAAAATGGCTGAGTAAATTTAAATGTAAGGCAGGTTTTCCATCAGACGTTTTAAATTTTTTAATGGAAGAGGTAGGAAGGGATCCACATTGGAAATGTCGTTTAGAAAGCAAATATTTTGGGACAATAACCTAGGAAATATCGTTGGTACGGTATATTGTGTCGGCGTTGAAGACATACACGAAACTCCAGCGACTGAAGCCTTGTTGTTTCAGATAGTGTCATATAGACAAAATTTGAAATGTGTAGTTAGCTACTTTTTCATTGACAAATGAAATACTAACGTACAGTGGCCATTAGTTAGGTGTTCCTTAAGGAATTTGTTGGATGTTGCTATAATTGTAAAATCAATTACATCTGACAGAAAAACTATTAACATATCGACAATAAACTGGGATTATGCATGTATGGTGATAATGTCGTATTATTATTAATATCACCTTTGTGTATTGAAAAGGTGTACTATGTGCTAGATACGTATCATATTAACTTATTAATTAATTAGTTAAATTAATTAAATTAAATTAACGCGAAATGCGTTTGCAGAAAAGCAGTTATATTCAAATAGTGTTAATACAGATGGGTATACTTAAAAAAATTGGATGTAATTCTAGGAAGGGCGATATTGGCAAATTTCTTATCTTCCACTTCTTTATTTCAAAAATAAAGTTGTGAATATGCGTTTGGCAAAGGTTACAAATCTCCAATAAGAATTCCTACTATGGAAAGAAACAAAGTATTTACTTTATATGATGATACTAAAAGCAACAATTCCCATCATAGCTACCTAGGTATTAAAAAAAAACACAAAATCATGCAATATTTATGAGTTTTGTTAATCGTTGCATTTTGTTCCGTTCGGATATTATTCATAGCATAAGCATAGCACTTCGCACTTGTAAATCATGGTTGCTCCATATCGTAACCTTTACTATTCTTTATGGGCGACTTTTTTATGGAGTGGCGTAACGAAAAAAAATGTACAAATTACGGTGAACTTAAGTTTCTTATTCCCCGATTCATCCCTGTTCACCTTCAAACGCCCTGACTGACTATAACTCCTATACCTATTTTCTACCGTAAGTATTTCATATGAAACTTTATTGGTTTACAAATATACAAATATGGATGTTAATTTTTCTATTTTTGTGGTATTTGCATGTAAATCCGTGCAACCTTTGCTCTCTTCACGCACGGACCTATGGTAGAAACGTACATATAATAATAAGTCTAGAATTTTTTATTTACTAAATTTTGTGTTGTGGTTTGTTACGAATCTTTTAAGATTTATTCTAATAATATTTATGACAAGCACTGCATGACTTTTAACCCATATACTATTAGGTCATATGTTTACAGACTAGCAGGTCATTAAAACTAATAGTAATTAAATTGTTGTAACTTTTTAGCATAAATTTTACGAAAATGTTTAAATAAAGAGATACTACAATTTATAGAGTTCATTATATAATCATATTTAACACTTTACAAATAATTAAATGGTGTAAAAATTAAAAACAAATACCTATACTGAAAACGAACAAAGTTTTACATTTCTAATAAACTAAAATGCGTATGTGTTGAAGTATTTCCAGAACATAATTGCATTGTTGTTTTTTTCTATTCCACTATAAAAGCAAGTTTCAATTAAAAACTATTTGATAATACAAATTTATATTGATTTAATAATAGATATGCATGTTAGGTGGCCTTCACAAAATTCATTATGCTAGAATTGTTGACATAATAACTGAAATTAGCACAAACCTGTAATAAGAAAGTACTCCATCTTGTAAAACAAACCACCTCTTTTGATATCCTTTTAAATAGTTAGTCCATTTAAAAAGCCAACCTTTTTTCACAAGATCACTTTGCTTCACAAGAGACTTATTATTTAAACTATCACCCATATTAACACGTTTCCTACACTAGTTTTCACTTAATCAGCTTATATCGACATGTCGACCATATTGAGCTTCGAACTGTCAAGTCTGGTCAAGTCCACAGATTGACAATTCTATGGTCACAGTTGTTATCGTTGTCGTTATCATAGACATATAATAATGGACGTGCCTTAACCGTATGTCGTAATAATTTCTTGGCTGGAAAAGAGTGAGAGAGATGGTGTATGGTTTCGGACTAGTGCTATCTCTTTCATAACACGCTTACGCACTATCGTGAGAGATATGGATATTGTCCGAAACTTCATTTCATCTCTTTCTTTTATTGTACCACAATTCTGACGGAACGGAATGTCCATTAGTAAACGTCGATGGTCGTTATTATGTGGATGTAGATAGATAGATTGTCGAGCATAGATGTCTTTAATGGATGTCATAGACAAATAGCTATTAAGTGACTTGTGATGTATTAGGATATAAAACCGTTCAGAAAATTTCACAAAATAGTATTTATGGTAGAGCGCTGCGATTGCCATGAATGTAGTCAGTCCTCGTATGAATGCAAGTAGAAGTCTTCACCGTAGACATGGTCTTGGCCCGTCGAAATTTGATACTATAAAATTCCATCAATCTATATTTTTACATGCCAAAAATGACAAAATAAAAAGTAAAATGTGCAATCAATAATATTTTCAAATTGGTAACCATGAATTCATAACGCTCGTACTATTATCCCTTATTTTAAGAAATTTTATGATGGGCATTAAACTAGTAGAAATGCTAGTGGAACGTACTCCTAGACACCACCACGATAAAGTTATAAATTAAAATGCACAAATGTCAAAAAATCAGCTGATTTTGAAGTTTCTAAGTTTTGGTTAGAATGTGAATATGACGAAGTAGGTAGTATTGTTTCTTAATAGAAATGATTAAAATTTGTGATATCATGTACAAAATTATTCAATTATACAGAATTAATTTGTGGTCGAGTATTTTAAATGGAATTTTATTTTTTGCTTTACCGTTTGGTAGTTTGTACAGAAATCATAGTATATTTTGTTTCTTATAATTATAAAGTAGTAACACACTGAAAATGGATATCGCAACCACTAACGATGCTATGGAAAATTTATATCCAGCCCTTGCACAATGCTTTGCAATAATAATATGTGGGTAAGTGTGTCATATTATACTTTTATTATTACAAATAATGTTCCATTTTGATTAGCTACATGGCTGGTCGTTTTAATCTTATATCAGAAACTGAAGCAAAGGGTATTCATACTTTTGTGGGGATATTTGCTCTACCATCACTCATTTTTATGTCACTGGCGCAGCTGGATTTAACTACAGTTAATTGGACATTTCTTTTGTCTATATTATTGGCAAAGAGTATTATATTTTTTACTGTGATTCTTATAACATTATTAATAGGAAGACCTCGTAATTATGGAAGAGCTGGAATATTTGCAATATTTTGCACCCAAAGTAACGATTTTGCTATTGGATATCCAATTAGTAAGTGATTATATTTTATTGTTTATGAATGTTAACTAATTTTATATAACTTATAGTTGTTGCATTGTATAAAAAGACACATCCAGAATTTGCATCCTATTTATATTTAATGGCTCCAATCAGTTTGGCAATTTTGAATCCTATTGCGTTTATATTAATGGAAATTGGAAAACGACAAAATCTTCTTACCGAATTGAGCATTAACAGGACTGAGGAGAATTTGACAACTGATAAAAATTACATACTGAAAACAATTATTTCAGTAATAAAAAGCATCTTTCTTAATCCTATTATTTTTATGACTCTGCTGGGAATAGTAGGAAATTTAATTTTTAAACATCATGTGCCATGCTTATTAGGACAAATATTAGAGGTATAAAGTAAGCTAACTTGCTTAGCAGATAGAATATAGTAATTTACTGAAAGCTTTAAAACAATTAAAAACCAATTAATTATATATGAGGTTCTTCAAGCTGACGATGAGTGGTACATTAGACGTTTTAGGGAAACTAAGCATGTAAGAGATTGAAAATTTGGCAATGGAAGTTATCGAGGCTGATTTTTTTTAACTAAAATAATTTCTGTCGTCCACTTCTAGTTATACTTCAAAGATAAATAACTTCGTTTCCTTAAATGGCTTCTACCATATTTTATTTTGTCATTCGATTCCTCTTCTAATCCTTCGATTTTTGTAGATTTTTTTTAGTGCTTTATTTGAAAATTTTTGAGTAAATTTGGTTTTTTGTCTAAAATAGATAATTTCACTAATTTTGTCATAATAAAAGTGTGCCATGGACAAATGACACCTACCGCAATTGTTACATATTGAAAACTTATCTTTCGTTTATTTATGGTATAAAAATAGAAGATGAAGCTTATAATAAATACTTCAATTCACATTTAGTTAATTTATTATTTAGGGAAGTTATAGAAAGAACATGTATAAGATTTAATGAACCGTATCCCCGTTTAAATATAAGTTTATCAAAGTCCAGAATCTGCATCTACAGGATCCCCTATCACTCCTTGAATTTTCTGAGACAATTTTAATGAAGTGCTAGGAAGACGAAAATTTCTTAACAAGAATTATCTGGTCGAATGAATCTTGATTTTCAAAAGATGTCTTTAATAGTCATAAAGAACATATTTGAGCAAATAAAAACTCTTATGCCTCTAGCGAACGCGGATTCCAGTACAAATTTGAAGCTAAATTTTAGTATAACATTAGCATTAAGACATGACACTTAACTGGTACATTCAATATTGTAAGTCATTTTTTTGTGGAAGTTTTTTTTCTATAAATTGAATAATTTCAGAAACTATTCATCGTAGGCATACAAGTAGGTTATAAAAGTTACCTTAAAATTTTGTGTCATAGGAATTCGTAGTTCCATTTAAAATAGTAAAGTTGACATCAATTTCCGGTATAACTGAAAGCGACCAACGGTTGAAATTATTTTAGTTAAAAAGATAACGATAACACCCCTACTGCCCAATTTCCAAATCTTTTACATGCTCAGTTTCCCTAAAACGTGTAATGTACCACTGAATTTTAAGACATCTGTATGTGTTCCACAAAACTTCAAAAAACGAAAATAATAAACTTTTAGCCCCTGGGAAATTTCATCGCCTGACTATGAATGTATATCTAGACTATAATGGCTTTATAGACAAAAATATGTTAAAACCATTATGGCAAATTACATTAAACCAATAACGCGATAGATGGATGAAACTACTGTTTAAACTGCTCCATAAACAGTCATCCCAGAACTAGTGCACAGTGCAAATATTTAATAGATGAAAGTTTTTATAATGATTTCTTAATAAAAAGAAAATTTTAAATTAAATAACCAAAAGAAGAAAGCCAGAGTATATACGTTAAACTGGATAAAATTATGTGCAATTTTAAAACAGTTTTTACAAACCAATAACTTAAAAAAAGTATATAAGCTCTTGGATACATCCAGAAACAAGAATAAAAAACAGTATAATACCTACATATTACTATAATAAAAAGTATTTATTTAGAAACAAATCTAAATATAATGTAATATTTTGTAGCATGTATATATATATCCAAAGGTAAAATGTCTTAGACGGTAAAATGTTTAGTGTCCCGCATTCCGTTGCATCAAATGAGATTGTAAACACTTTTTTATTAATAAAAAGAAATCATTTTTAACATTCTGTTCGCACATTCATTCTGTTTTGATGTACATAGTAATGTTGTGGCGTTCGTACACCCATTTTTTTTTTATTTTGCATTTTCGTAAGATAAAAATTTCTTTTGCAAGTATGCAGTAATATTCATTTGCATTGATTTTTAATTTGTCACACTCTTCAATCACTTTAGGGTTACACACCCATATTCATGCAGATTAATCTGTGGTTTTTGTAAGTGTATAAAACAAATGAGCAAATATCATTTTAGTTAATTATATGCGAACTTATGTTGTTGCATTACATTAGATTTTGTTATTACGTTGTATAATGGCAGAGTATGTTTTTCCCCTTAGCGATGCCCGTTATTCCACATACACTTAACTGGCGTGCATTTACATATGTTTCTATTTCAGCGCTGTTAAGCCTAAATACTTTACATATGTAGGTATACATGCTTACTAAATTACCTGACTGCCTTAATTCAGAATTACTTTTAAATCAATGAATAGAAGATATATCGTATTATATTTAGCGTAATATATAGGTATATAGATAATCGTTATGTAATACTGCTCCTCAGCTCTCATGGACAAATCGCCACTGCTTATAGTAATTTACTTTTGTTGCGACTTTGTAAACATGCAATGATAAATATCTAAGTTTGGAACAGCTAAAACGTTTTATTAAGAAGTTTAAATTGTAGGTCATGGGTTCTGCTTTTTCGGCCAGTGCTTTATTTCTTTTGGGACTTCGAATGGTTGGAAAAATTCATAAATTAAAGGGTGCTACGTTAATTTTACCAGGAATATTAATTATAGTAAAACTGTAAGTATATAAAGGGAGAGGGGGTGACAGCTGTAGTCCATCAAAAAAACTTTTTCAAGTTTATAATAATGAAAATTTATTTGCGTTTCATAGCTTACAATGTGGCGTTATTCTTTTTTTAATATTATTATTATTAGTATAAAAGAATCAATGTTTTGTTCAAATTGGGCTTGTTAAGGCTCCTTTTATACCCTCCCCACTTAATACTCTTCTGTTAGGCTCAACTCTATCAATTCCCTATCGAAAGTTGTATAGAAAGTAAGAGCAGCAATTTCTCATTTATTAAATCGGTTCTGTCCCTGAAACGCTGATGATATGGCGTAGCCGCTGCACAACCTTTACAATTATTTGAAAGTTGTCTATGCAATTAATTAAAATGGTATCGATAATTAGGAAAAATCGTTAAACAATAGCTTGAGATTTTGTATTATTTAAGTATTTAATCCTCATATTGACGAATAAAAAGCCATCTATTTTTCTACGGTATTATTACTAAAATAATTTGTGTTAATGCCTGCTGTTTGCATTGCAGTTTATTTTTACCAATAGTGACACGTGAAATAATAAGTTCCTTACATGCCGGCTCAAATGCTTCTGAAACGTTACATTTAAGTACCTATGGTTTTTTATATGGCACTTTTCCATCAGCACCAACCGTTTTTGTTTTTGCAACGCAATATTCTGTGGATATAGATTTGGTAACTTGATTATAATTTGCTTCTATTTTTTTATTTTGCCTACCATTCAAATTTGATAGGTAGCCAGTGCCATGGTTGCTTGCACCTTTATGAGCGCTCCTCTGATGTTTGTGTCGGCCAAAATGATTACCTTAACAAACACGGATCCATCGAATTATATAAAACAATTGAACGATTTTACTATGGATATCAGTATTGCAGGCTTAGTTGTTGGTGTATGGGTGATAATGGTTTTTGTCTTAACTAAAAAGATTTTCAGGATTCCTCAAAGAGTTACTACATGCTTGTTGATCTCACAGGTTAGACACATAAAGTAATTAACTTGTATACATAATCAAAATAGTTTTTTAAAGCATTATTCAGAAAAATAGTTGTATATTTCTAATGAATTTTAGTTACTAAGTTGCATTGGGGCAATATTATGGAATGTCTTCGAACATAAAGAGGGATGGACGAGTTATTTCCAGTTTATGATTTCTACAGTGGGTATATATAGTTCTCGAATTTGGACTGCTCTTTTGGCACTGACTCTACTCCTTTTACAATATCGTGGTTTATGTTTTATACTTAAACTTCAACCTTATTTTGGTGTTGTGGGTTGGGGGTAAGAAATTATTTTAGAGTGAAACATTTGCGTAAATAAACTTATTATAATTTGCTGTTTCAGGGTTCCTACTTTATTTTCAGTGTTGTTTTTACTTTTTGATAAACAAAATTCTATTCCCTATGACAAAAGAAATCCAAACTTTATTTATGGAGCACCCCAAGCAATTGTAACAATATCTCTGCTAGTTTTATCTTTCATAGGTATGTGAGGTTTCTTACTTTTAAAGTATTTTATTATTATTTTTTTANACCAAAACTATTGTCAAAAAAGTAAAATTTTAAGAATATATCATTTAATTTTATCTAGACGTTTTATATAATAAATTATAATTGCTATTACAAGTACGCAACTTAAAATAGTTTTGCAATTTTTTAAAGTGTTTCCGCTTACATTTTATAAATCACTTAATTTCGATTTGCGTTTAGACTTGACAACTGAACATAATTAATATTAATATTGGTGACGCGAACAATTACGGTGAAATGTATGACATATTGAACAACTAAATAAATACGTAATATAGTACATTTTATGTTTGGCATAGAAACCATTTCTTCTAATTTAGAGGGGTTGAAAAAAAGTATGTACCTACTTAAAACAACCAAACCGAGGCCATATCTAAACGAATCAATCAAAAATAAGGATTCCAAGAAATAATCTTTTGTTAGCTTACAGTAGCAGTATGAATACAACAGAAAAATAAATTCGTTGTTTTTGATATGGGCTCACTTGTTGTTTTACTTACTTTTTTCTAACCTTCCAAAACCAGCGGAACGAATGGCTTCCGCATCCAACATTCATACTTAATTAACACAGTAAAATGTAGAGTGTAAAAAAATTTCAGGAAAATCTCGGTGTCACCCCTAAAGTAAAAAATACCTTTTAATTTAATAGCGAAATAAGATTACAATTATATTTTAATATTTAAAACCCTCAAAATTATAAAGAAATTATGAAGTCATTTAATTTACTTTCACATCATGGATTTTCGTTGCTGACACCTTTGGCAATGTTGCGTATTGAATATAAACGAGTAATAGAAGCCAGTGTTCGGTGATGATATATCACTGTGACGTTACCAGTTCTTTGCTCAGTCAAAATGGCTATGCATATGTAGATATTTCTTTTATAAATTGTTTTAAAATATATTGTTAAGGTACATTTTTTTCATGGAAGCATAAACATTTAAAAATCAATAAAAAATTTCCAATTCAGTGTAAATTGTAAATACTAATGTAATTAATGTCTTTTTAAAAGTTCGTTTAGGTGCCCTGAAATTTCTCTAAAGCAATTCTACATGGCTTATTTAATATTTTATTTCAAATTCAAGACCCTATCTAATACTTCAGTTTTATGTAGACCTTAAATGATTTTTATTTTCAGTGACGGTGGGCTCATTGATTCTTCATCAGAGACATAGTGTTCGTTATTCTCGGTATTTGAATTTAGCTAACGACATTGCTTCGACGTTTAACCAAAGGAACTCTCACGATGATGCTGAAAGTAGTAGTAATTTAGTAGATCCTTGCCCAAATAATTCCGAAGATCTTTTCGAGCATGAGAAACGTAATACATTGTCTACAATTAAAGAGAGCACTTCTGACCAAAGTGTGCGATCCACTGTCACTGATATTGAAGATTTGGGGGGTGACAGTTTTGTGGAAAATGACGATCAGAGGTATTTATTATAAGCATATTTAACTCATTATGATTCACGGTTAGGTAATTATGAAACATATTATTAGCCGAAAAAGTAAAATAAGTCGCTTTTTTATGTTTGTAATAATTTAATGCTAAACTCTACAATCGTTTCGGCATATTATGTCTTAAAAACGTACAATAATATAATACGAGGGCGGCTGAAAAGTTTTGAGCCTAAGTACAATTAAGTGTCACTATTCTCCCGCTCTGCATGTCACTAATTGCGAATACTTACAATAGTGTAAATACCGAGTTTCATATCATCAGCATCATTATGCTTTTCGTAATTAAATAATAAAATATCACCAAGTCATCCGCACATTGTTCGAAATTAAACACCTTATGAAGAAAACCAAAACGACGGAAATATTTGAGAATATGTCTAAAGTTTTTGGGGAATCTGATCCTTCATTTGCCATTATAAAACGGAGCCGAGAATTCAAACATGGCAGAGAGTCGCTGGAAGACGATCCCAGGTTAGGGCGTCCAATCACTTCTTTTATTGAATGAAATATTGAAAAAGTTAGAAAAAAAAATATTCAACGTCGCGATAAAGGCCCTAATTGACGAAGTTTGTTTATATATTTTCGCCTAGACAAGGAACGAATTTTGGATAGCGAGAATTATAATAGCACCGTATCAATTTTTTTTATAATTTATATATATATTTTAGTATACCACAAAGTGCAATGTGCCCTGCACGTTTCTCTTGTTGTGATTCTCAGAGATCTCGTTGTAATACTGTAATGCAGTATTATGAAGGGGAAAGTGCAAACATCGAATACATCGAAGAAGAACCGGAAAGTCATGATCTTCAAGTCTTATCACACATAGTTTTATTGATATTTCTTCTGTGCTCTATGTTTGTGGTTAGTGTATTTTTTACTTTTGACGAGTATTAAAATTTGCTGTACTTGTAAATATCATTTAGGGATTGGCATTATCCGTTTGGACGCTTATTATGGAAGGAATGTCAGGGATTTACATAGAAATCTCATTTTTGGATGCTACCCTTAATTTCGGTCAAAGCATAATTGTATTCGCAATATTTGGTTTAAATACCAAAGAGATTTTCTTACCACTTTTAAATTTTTGGACGAAACTAACATTTGGAATGAAAAAATTGACGCTACCAACCTGGGATGACCTGGAATACGACACAAAGCATGTATGCGAGCAGTTTAGAACGCATCATTTAGAAAATTGTAGGAAAGAATTAGCTAAAGATAAAAGGTAGGTTTGAATGTATTAATAATTTTGGTTTATGCAGTTTCACATTATTTCGCAAACGATTACATTATAAGTCGATGCAGATTGAATTTAATATTATAATTAATAATATGCAATTGAACGCGGGCCCCTAGTTTTACGCACCGGTATTCACTAATGCATTGAATTTAACCCTTCAAAAATTCAAAATGTCTCAATGGCATTATAATTGAAACACAGAGTATATATAGAAGAAAAAGGTGTAAACAATTTTAAAAAATACCGAAAGGGTTCGTGGTTTCTAGTCGTCAAAAACTGTAACCCTCTTTTCTGCAATAGGTATAGGAGCTAAAAGTAAAGTTTATTGTGCCAGTAGTATGTTACAAAGTAAAGGATATACAATTTTGACTTTGAATCCAAAACGGCTAAAATTTAAAAGAAGTCTATCAATTTATACTCCTCGAAATAAATAGAGTTAGATTTAGTTTTATTTTGTGTTTCTTTCCGACGCATCTGTAGTATCTCTATGTGGTAAATTCTTGATACTGAAGATATTGGCTAATTTGTTTTTGTTTCTGTTTTATAGATGGCGATTAAAAGTATATAAGAATGTATTTTCTGGAAAAGATTTTGTGAATTGGTTAATAGAATATGGCTTAGCCAGAGATAGAATAGAAGCAACAAATTATGGGAAGCGCCTTGTAGATGGTAACGTTTTAATGCACATTAATCAAGTTTATCATTTTTATGACAGAAACTTGCTATACACTTTAAATTAGGCTTATTTTATGGTAATATCCTATTACCTGCATAGAAGAGTCCACGCTTATTTCTTTCATCTGTTACGTTTTATATTTTAAGCATAACGGTGTTGTTAAGATTGTGATTTTGGTATCTGTGAAAGATGCTATTGTCAGATGCCAACTTACTGTATGTTTTTTGAAATGTAATTTTTAATAGTTAGCATCAACTTAAACCAAAGTTTAGAAATATTTTTTTTATTTATTGTATCTAGCGAAGTTTATACGTCAGCCATGGTGTAAACTTCTAATGTAGTAATGTAATTGTTAAAATAAAGTGAAAATGTAATAAAAAGTTGCGTAACATGGAACATATTTTGATTGAAAAAATAAATACATTTGGGCATCGTAGTGAAAATATGGTAGTAGTGTTTGGGATGTTATAAGGTGCACAAGTGGCAGTAGCGTAAAAGTGGCTTGCTGCAGTTCAATGTGTTCCAAGCGTTTTGGGGCCTCCTGTCTCAGCAAAAAGTATTAATAGTTGAACAGAAGTTTTTATTTGTATGCATTGCATATAGCTATTGCGATTAACATCTGCATTAGCAAGGTATGTGCTTATGCTTATTTTTATAGGTCTCTGAAGACTTTTGTATAACCACGTCGTTTTACTTTTGTTACTGTCTATTATTGGTTAGATGTAGACCACAGTTGGAAAACTCAAAACTAGTTTGAACTAATTCATTATTAGAAAATACCACAAATGGCGTGGTGAGCGCCATCTGTAGTACGATGCTACATTTTAGCATTACGTATGTGCCAACAAGGTTCATTTAAAAATATGGATATCTACTTGCTGAAACGAATTCCGGCGTAGCTCACCTCAACGTGGAAGGCACGTTACCATAATCGAATAAAATAATTCGAAGTGGTCTGGAACATACGTAATCCCAAAATGTAGCATCGTACTACAGATGGCGCTCACCACGCCATTTGTGGTATTTTCTAAAACGCGCTGTTAAAACAGCAGGTAAAGGTTGGTCGGTGTTCTGTCGGAGCTGTCTGTGACGCGCTGATGAGATCCAAAAAGATCGAAATCGCTATCCTCGTCTGGCAGTTTCGATAGAATACAGACCACTTCGAATTATTTTATTTAATTCATTATTCACAGAAGGATTCATACATTACCATAATATTAGAATAGTTATTGACACAGCTTCATCCAACACTATCGTTCTACCTGATGTAGTATTAGAACGGCAAATTCGTCCATTGAGGAAGAGAATGATCTTGACTATGGATACCGAAGAGACCATCAATACAGTAATATCAAATCCTGGCGAAACTTTCCGTCTGTATAGGTTATAGTGATCTTAGAGAAAAATCAAGTATGCTGAGGCATTTTGAGCAAGAATGTATGACGATCGACTACTGGTGAGGGCTGTTGAATCAAACAATGTAACCGCAGACAATATTGGAGTATTATCGATACCCTTAGCTTCAACTAAACTGGTTAAACAGTTCAATTATCGCCTCAGGGATAAGCCACACAACTGGAAGAGCTACTTAGTCGTTTTCAACATTTCGGTAGGAAGAGGTTTGACATACTACTGCATCAACACCGAAAGAGCAAGGCAGTCATTGTCAAAGTAAATGCAACTTTAGTTAGATTTAGATATCTTTTGAAAATCTACTCTTCCACGGAGAAAAAAACTTTAATCAGAAGATTGGACTTCTTATATCAGCGCTACCTCTAGACTACGATAATTTAGCTATATCTAAACCTTGTTAATCAACCATTACTTGATTGCGCTTGACCAGTAGAATCGTACAGACGGCTCTGGAGGAATTACCCGCCTTGCTGGAGAAGACAAGTGCGTGCCTGTCGACGTTACCTTGTGGGTCGAAACGTGTGATCCTTAAATTATATATGTTCATTCAATAATGCACGCTAGGACCTAGAGAATTGAAATGAATACTACTTAACACAAGAATGGCTGACAAAACGATCAGCGTCGGGTGTGAGGTAGATGTAATAAATTTTAATAATTAGGTAGCAAAAGTGTAGCTCTGCAGCACCTATATACATACCAGTGACATTCAAAATATGTTGTTGATAAGTAAGTTTAAAATTTTAATTTGTTATTAGTTATAGTTATAGTTACAGTCCACACAAACCAAGCCAAAATGTAATGCCCTCAGCAGATATTGAATTCACTTATAAAGTAAATGTGATTCATTTGAAATACTTCCATTTAAAATGCAAGTACAAAATACCCATTTCTATTTTGCTTTTAGATACTTTTTTGGGAAAAGCATTTTGCATTTTATTTTTTTAGACGTATTTTCTATTGGCAAAATGGAAAATACTTTATTGAGTTATGTTTTACTATAAACATTGATCAAACGTTATAATAATTTAATAAATGGTCCTGACCAGGATCAACAGGATAAAACTAAAATTTAGAAATTTCATTGCGTAGAATGATGATGAAAAGAAGTTTTTTTCGTCCCTCGGAAACAGTATTTTTTCTCGGGATTAAAGGTACCCTATGTTACTTTCTGCACGCCTAACAATGTGTGTACATGATGATTGGTTGAGTACTTAAGGCGTGAAATAGTAACAAACAAATAAACAAAGTCACATTTGCAAGCTAAAAATGGAAACAAAAAGACATTCTATGGATGCCTTCTAATATATGAACCGAAGAGAACGAAAAAAAGATGCAATTTCCTTCAAAATATTGTGATTTCGATATTATTTTCTGGTCTGTTTTGTCATGGTCCTTGAAATGTCAGTCCTAAACTGACAGACATCAAAGTCACGACTCAGTACTTGTCAAATCACCCGGGTCAGGTGCTTTCAGCAAGGAACGTCGAAACGTCTCCAACTACGAAATTTATTTTAGATATTTTACGCTAAAAAACCTATTTTTTTCAAATTAAAACAGGTCCTAAAGGCAAATAAGAGAGCATGAAGAAGAATTGTTTGTTGTTCAACTGAGAAAACTTGTAAAAGATGTAAAAAATATATCAATAATTTCAAACAGTAAAAAGAAAAAAGAAAAGTGAATTTTACTAAATGTTTTAGCAGTCAGTGATGATGTAAACACCATTACTCGAAATTAAAATCTCGGGTATTAAAAAGATGATACCATTCAGAGTTAAACAAATGTCCATGTTTTCATAAAAGTATACTTAAAAAAATCGAATACTAAAGATATTTAGCAAACAGAAATTATATTTGATTTTGGATTTAAATACTTTTAACCAACCCATTTGTATATTTAATGATTTTTACTGATATTTGTTTTGTTTTTTTTTTTAAATTTTTTAACCGAGCTATAAGCTACACCCTACAGTTATAGGTTTCATATTTTTAATAGATCCATACGTCCTCTCAACGCTATTAAAATATGTATAGTTTTTTATTTCGTTTTTCGCTTTATTTCAATAATCTTCAACAATGATTGCCACAGAATCATGTCATATTTAGGATAGTTTATTCAAATAAAACACATAACTAAACAGCAAAAACTTACTAGCATTTTTAATTTATTGTCTTTACTCATTCTTGTTACAATTTCTACAATAATGCTCTTCACAAGTTTGTAATGATGAAAATATTTGCCTATAATAGAGGCTAAAATATAATACAACAATATTACCTTTCAAAATGTATTTGTTGTAGGTGGGATATTCATTATTAATGTACAATGCAAAATTGTATTTAACATTTTTTTTTGAAGATGTTAACATTTTGATGTTGACAGAAAACAAACTTGTAAATCAACATTTTTTCGATCATCGACATCTATAATAATTTCCAAACATCAACAAGGAATGTGTAGTGTTCACAAATGTATGTATAGGTATGTAACATGAACACTTCGTTTCCGGTTGTAAGAATTCTGCTTCTCGACAATGTTAAAAAAATCCTACAAAGTTGATTTCTGTAGGAATAAAACAAGATCGCAAAAACTCAACGACTTAATTGGCTCTTACAGCAATAGAAACTCAAACTCCTATCACAGGCAAAAATACTCAGCGATTGCATTTTCAAAATAAAATTTGTTATACAAGAAAAAATTAAAAGGGATGGGAGATTATCAAGTCTACCAAAACTATTGTCAAAAAAGTAAAATTTTAAGAATATATCATTTAATTTTATCTAGACGTTTTATATAATAAATTATAATTGCTATTACAAGTACGCAACTTAAAATAGTTTTGCAATTTTTTAAAGTGTTTCCGCTTACATTTTATAAATCACTTAATTTCGATTTGCGTTTAGACTTGACAACTGAACATAATTAATATTAATATTGGTGACGCGAACAATTACGGTGAAATGTATGACATATTGAACAACTAAATAAATACGTAATATAGTACATGTGGCCGACAAATATCAATATTTCTACACAATCTTATTTACTGTTACAAATAAAAATCACAAATGTATTCAAAATTTATCTGCGAGAGATGTGTCTGTCGTGTTTGCGATAAAAGAAACACTTTAATATAAATGAAGTATAAATAAAATTCATAAAATATCACATGTTTAGTTACTGTGTAAGACACAACTTAAATAGTTCATACTGTTTTTTTTTAAATACTATACAGCGAATACTAATATAAACTAGGAACTGAAGTGAATTTTTTCTATTCTTAAAAATAAGGCAACATACTTTAGATATATATGAAGACACTTTTTTCAGGCAAATAAATATTGAATTTGATTGTTGAACATATTCAAGAGCTGGACTACAGAACAAAAATACTTTGCAGGTTAGTTTCTTCTTCGAAACATGATAACGTATATACGCCCTAAACATCATCAACAGCTGTAAAAAAATAAGTGAAATTATTAAAAAAAAAAACAATAAAGAGGAGTGTTCATCATATTCATGACATAATAGGAATTTTTTCTTCACGAGATTCATTTCATTTTAATAAAATGCGTTACTGGCAAGGAATCATTATATATGATAATGTAAAAACTAATTAAAAATAGTACCAATTTTATTTTTTTAGACGTATTTTCTATTGGCAAAATGGAAAATACTTTATTGAGTTATGTTTTACTATAAACATTGATCAAACGTTATAATAATTTAATAAATGGTCCTGACCAGGATCAACAGGATAAAACTAAAATTTAGAAATTTCATTGCGTAGANTTCAGGAAAAGTAACTTTACTCAGAAAAATTATTTGGAAATGTTTCTACATAGGTAAACAGTAAATTAGAATTTTTTAAGTAAGTAATTTTATATTTAATACTACTGATTAACCATGTTCTGTGTTTATCTCACGGTGACCACCACTACTTCCATTTGAATTTTGAAAATTTGGACAATAGCGTTATTGAGTTTGCCATACTTACTACGATTTTAAGTAGACTCATAAATTTACCGCATTCTTAATTCATTATAAGGGGATTCAGTAGTACTCGCGCCGTAGAGTAAAAACATGCTTATCTATTCTGCATAACATGAGTTTAATATTTGAAATAGATATTTGAAATTTTGTAGGGAGATAAACAAAGCTTTGTTCTAGCGCCTGTCAGAGGCCTTTTTTTTAATTTTTCATTTCTATTGGAAATATACGTCCCATAAAATGCATGGCTGAAGCTACCTCGAGTTTTTTGGTGGAAGCCATCTCAGAAACGGTGAGAGATAGACTTCTGAAAAGGTCATAAATCGTCGTATCACCAAAACTATTGTCAAAAAAGTAAAATTTTAAGATTCTCATTCCACGCATAG